GATCAACTCAAACTGACTGTGAAGAACGTGGGTTGGGTCACTGATCACCTGGTGCGCTGGGATTCGGTGACTCTGGATTAAATAAATTCCTCGGAGGAAAGACTGATTGAGGCGTGTGCGCGGACAATTAAAACTATTAAGCGGGTGCGCTGAATGAACTTTGGATTGGGCAGTGTGGGTATAAGCGGCCTAATAGAATTTCAATTTGAAACAGTCATACCTTTGCCCTTGTTTTATTTTATTCATTACAAGCAGACCATTATATATAGTTTTAAGGAATAATCAGTTGCCTAGATTTTTTTTTTTTTCGATTGGTAATCTCCTGCGCTCAGTGTGGGTGTTACAATACCTGGAGTTGCATCAAGCTTCATTCATGATGGTGTTAATACTCTGCAGGAAGAATTCTGATTTTACAAGAACAACATTGAGAGAGAAAGAGACAGAGAAAGGGGAGAAAAAAGAGAGAAGTAGTGGGAGGGGAAAAAAGAGAGAGGGAAAGATACCCATTAAACGTTAGATGTCTTATACGTCCTATATTGCGTCCGTCAGCTCAAGACCAGTTCTGGACTAATAAATGACGTGCAAATTATTCCCATTAGTTGGACGTTTAACTCTGACTCCACTTGGACGTCAATCTGCAGTTAAACTTGTGAACCGTGGACTAGGGGACTTTTTTGGAAATCGTGGAAACGTCTAACACAGGCTCAGGAAAATGACGTTATTAAAGGTCATGGAAATTCTGCGAGTTAGTCAGGGAAAAGTTGGTGAATTTTAAGTTTGAAGTTGGAAGGAGGAGAACCTGTGAACTGTATCCTCCATTTTCCTGTAACGTCGTGTGACTCTGTAGCAGATTGAAATGCTGTCTGAAATGGCATCGCAGTTCTGCACAGAGCCGGAGAACAGTAAGTAGGCCGAGAAAAACGCTCTAAAATGAGTTTAGATTTAAAATGGCCATGTAGGTTTGTCAAAGTCTGATCCCGTCAGATCTCAGAAGCTCAGCAGGTCTGGGTCTGGTCAGGACTTGGATGGGGCACATGGGGAAAAACAGGTGCCGCAGGGGGGCGCCAGTCGCTAAAACTGTTGTTGTGTCCTTAGGCAAGACACTTCAACCACATTGCCCAGTATGAAAGTGGTGTGTGTGTGAGTGATGGTGGTGGTCGGAGGGCTGATGGAGAACAGTATCTTAGCACCACCGAGTGTGGAGTGAATGACTAATGTAGGGGTGTCAAATTATCACGTTAATTGCGATTAATTAATTACAGTCATATTTAGTGCGTTATGTTTTTTAATCATGTTAATCTTATTTTTAATCTCTAACTTTACTCTTTCTGTGAGCGAGTTGCCTTATTATAAAATCTGTTTTTATGTGTTGTTGGGACAATAAGACATCGCTCCCGCAAAGAATTGTAATTTTCATTCCCGTTCTCGCCGCATCTGCGATAAACCTGCACATGTCTGATCTCTGAAAACATCATGACACAGACACAGAACAGACTCACCTTCACCATCAACATCCTCTGTCACAGAAAGAACACTCATATATTCCACTGAGTCGTGTCCTTTAGTCCCACAGAAGTTGAACCGCATCAGTGCACAAGAGTGTTTGTTTTGTTTTTTTTTTCGCTTAGTTTAAGCAAATTAGCCATGCAGTTTTAAGTTTTGTTTCTGTGAGACTTGCACAAAGCTGCATTAAACACATTATAATGTCAAATGGGCTGATGTGGCTTTAGAGTTGTTCTGGTTTATATGTTGTAAAGTTGAGTTTATTTATGCAGAATAGTAACAGTAATAATGATGATGATACTGTGGAATGTAAGTGACTGCATCTGTTAAAGTTTGTTAAACAATAAATGACTTTTAAAGTTTCTTTTTTTGTTCTATATCAGTCTTTTCATCTGCCACAATAATGTAATAATGAATTTAAATGAAAATACCTCAAGTTGAAGCTTTTCTCAGCAATTTAGAGTTGAGATTAAAAAGAGATTAATTAGATTCATTAATTACAGATCATAATTAATTAATCTGTAATTTTTTTTAATCGCCTGACAGCACTAGAATAGTGCTCTGTGAAGCGTCTCTGAGTGTCCAGAAAAGTGCTGTATAAAACTGATGCCTTTCATTTATTATATTATATTATTTAAGTAAAAAAGACGTCAACAACGACCTCACGTGGACTAGAATTAGCTTCGTCCAGGGGTCCTTGGAACGTCAATACTGGACGTCCGGAAAACGCTGGAAAAAAGACGTCATCTGGCTTCACAGTCTACACCTTCAGTGGACCGAGACTGGACGTACAAAAATGATCCTAAAAAGACATCATTTCAACATTTCTTTGTGCAGTGGGTTAAGAGTAAAAAGGGAGACAGAGGGTGAAAGAGAGGGAGAGAGGAAGAGGCAGAGAAAGAGAGAGAAGGAAAGAAGGAGAGCGACAGAGAGACAGACAGAGAGAGACAAAGAAAAAGAGAGAGACATGGTTTCATTAATACTCTGCCTCTGAGCAGTCACCAAACAAGTGCTTTGACGTTTCTCATGATTGTTACATCACAGGTAGAAGTCCCATGCAGTTTTTACCTCCATAAACTATTACCAGACTTGTTTTAAAGCAGACCTCTTATGCACGATAGAGCTTTGAATCATGATTTAGTAGTTCACAGTGATTCATGCATGTCATTCTTCTGTATTTGCATTTGCATTTTAACCTCCATCTGTACACACCCACTGCTCTGTACTTATTTCATTCTCCAGTTTTATTGTCTTAATCAGTGATCTGTGTAGGGTTCGGCAGCGTCACATAGTCATTTTGGTACAAATGGAAAAAAAAAAAAATCTGCTGCTTGTTAGTGTGATCTGCAGCTATCCACAGGAGGGGCTGACAGAATGTGGCATTTTGTTGTCATGACATTTAAAGCGACGTCAGAATATTCCGATTTTAAATGTCCAAACACAATAATCCACAGGAGTCATTTTTGCTGTTTGATCATGTTTATCATTGAGTGTGTACACATGCACATCAGTATCCTGATTATGTCAGTATTTGGGATACTGCGTTTACATGTGCACTGAGAAACAGGGACACTCATATCCCTGTGTACATGATCAAATGTTGTATCCCGGTTTCTTGACATAATCTTACAAATGCGTAAGTGCAGAATTTAACTTCAATCAATTTAATAAACCAGGAAAAATACAAACCGTGAGCTCCTTTAGCATAAGAAGCTCAGGAGGTTTAACCAGCGGTGAGGATCTATGAGATCTCCCACAATCCACTGCACACATCAAACCCAACAGATTCTTTATTAAAATCTTCTGCATAAATAAACTCAACTTTACAACATCTAAACCATAACCACATCAGCCCGTTTGATCATAACATTCAGCTCTGATCACATTTGTTTACATTTTACAGAAACAAAACTTTAAACCGCATGGCTCATTTACATAAACTGTTAGCGGTGATAAAAAACAGCTGCTCCTTGTGCCGCTGATGTGATCAGCTTCTGTCGGACTAAAAGACACGACTCAGTGGATTATGTGTGTTCTTTTTGTGACAGAGGAGGTGCTGATGATGGTGAGTCTGTTCTGTGTTTATATCAAATAGGAGATGGCTCATGTTTTAGAGTTTCAGCGATCATACGTGTGCAGGTCGTACGAGCGCAGATTGTACGTGTGCAGGTTTAGTGCAGCTCTTTATTTTACACTTATTTCATTCATGTACAGTCACTTTATTTATGTTGGTCACTTTATTTATGTCGGTCACTTTATTTATGTCGGTCACTTTATTTATGTTGGTCACTTTATTTATGTCGGTCACTTTATTTACGTTGGTCACTTTATTTACGTTGGTCACTTTATTTATGTCGGTCACTTTATTTACGTTCGGTCACTTTATTTACGTCGGTCACTTTATTTACGTCGGTCACTTTATTTATGTCGGTCACTTTATTTACGTTGGTCACTTTATTTATGTCGGTCACTTTATTTATGTCGGTCACTTATTTACGTTGGTCACTTTATTTATGTTGGTCACTTTATTTATGTCGGTCACTTTATTTACGTCGGTCACTTTATTTATTTGTCGGTCACTTTATTTATGTCGTCGGTCACGGTCACTTTATTTACGTTGGTCACTTTATTTATGTCGGTCACTTTATGTTGGTCACTTTATTTATGTCGGTCACTTTATTTATTATTTATGTTGGTCACTTTATTTACGTTGGTCACTTTTTATTTCACTTTATTGGTCACTTTATTTATGTTGGTCACTTTATTTATGTTGGTCACTTTATTTACGTTGGTCACTTTATTTACGTTGGTCACTTTATTTATGTCGGTCACTTTATTTACGTTGGTCACTTTATTTATGTTGGTCACTTTATTTATGATGGTCACTTTATTTATATTGGTCACTTTATTTATGTCACTACTGTTGCATTGAAAAGACTGTAAAGTGTTTGTCTTTAGGACGCATGCGCAGTCAACTTTATGTTGCAGTAACCGGGATACTGCGTTTACATGCCACAGTATTCCAGTTACTATCGGAATATACCAGCTACAGTATCCCGGGTTTTCATAACCGGGATACTGAAACCGGGATACTGCGTGTACATGCACCATGAAGAAACCGGGATACTCAAAAAACCCGATCATAACCGGGATACTGATGTGTATGTATACGCACTCATTACTGCTGCATGTTTATATCAACGTATCTGAACATGTTCCTCATTTCCTAGTTTAACTGTGAAAAATGTCAAACTGCACCAGATGTGGAGCGCACTGAAGCTGTGAGATGACGGCTTCTTTTTGTTTGTTTGTTTAACATGGCATTATTTTAAGCTCGAAATTATGAAATGCCAAAGCAAAGGTACTCAAGCGCAGGTTTAAAGGTCATTCGCAACAGAAATAATACATCATGTAATATCTGTATTCCATTACACTTGTTGTACAAACTCATAACTGATGTATGTGACTAAATGTACCGTCTCCTCTTGTCTCCATAGCGACAGCATGCCCAAGCGGCTGGCTCTGATCTGCTTCCTGTCTCTGGTCATGCTCATGAGCATTCTGGGAAACCTGCTGGTCATGGTGGCCGTGTGCAAAGACCGCCAACTCAGGTCAGGACTGCCTTTACACTTACGCGGTTTACACTTATTAAAGACGCACTGTGTAACTTTTCTGGAAGAGGGTCCGTCGCCTGCTTCACTCCACAGATGTCATCGCTCTTTCCTGGAATGTTCCACAGTATGGCATTTAATTTATCTATCGCTATGGAGATAAGCAGACACATCACCAGGCCGAATTACAGGCGAGATCTGTGGAGAAGTGGACTCGCTCACAGTAAGAATACATGTGTTTGTTATAGCAGTGAGAAAAAAAAAAAAAAAAAAGCACTTATAAATGAATAAATACAAGATAAATTCAATTTGTTTAATGCCATACTGAGGAACATCCCAAGCAAAGCAATGACATCACCAGGAGAAAAGCATTTGTCAGATCTTCCGCCAGAAAAGTTACACAATGCACCTTTAAGATTTATCTATCCTTACTCGCACAATTCACTTTAGAATGAATATTAGAATGTTTTTATGATCGTTTTCTGTGTTTAATGTACCAATGATCTGAAAATATGTTTGAGCAGTCCAACACACACGCCAATCTGTGCATCATTTGTTCATTCGTTTTTCAAAATAAAACCAAAAAATAAGAGAAGGAAAAAAAATGACAATTTTCTTCATTATTTGTCTCCAAAACCAAACTGAAAAAGCAGATAACGATTTGTTTTTTAAGTTGTCGATTTTGTGTTTAAATGAAAAATGAAAAAAGAAAAAAAAAAAAGGATAACGACCGTTTCCTGTTTCTGGACTTTTGCACCACATACAGACTGATCCAAGGACAGAAGCAGGACTAAACCAGGTCTAAACCAGGACTAAACCAGGTCTAAACCAGGACTAAACCAGGTCTAAACCAGGACTAAACCAGGACTAAACCAGGACTAAACCAGGACTAAACCAGGTCTAAACCAGGACTAAACCAGGACTAAACCAGGACTAAACCAGTCTAAACCAGGACTAAACCAGGACTAAACCAGGACTAAACCAGGTCTAAACCAGGACTAAACCAGGACTAAAACCAGGACTAAACCAGGTCTAAACCAGGACTAAACCAGGACTAAACCAGGACTAAACCAGGACTAAACCAGGACTAAACCAGGTCTAAACCAGGTCTAAACCAGGTCTAAACCAGGACTAAACCAGGACTAAACCAGGACTAAACCAGGACTAAACCTAAACCAGGTCTAAACCAGGTCTAAACCAGGACTAAACCAGGACTAAACCAGGAACAAACCAGGTCTAAACCAGGACTAAACCAGGTCTAAACCAGGACTAAACCAGGTCTAAACCAGGACTAAACCAGGACTAAACCAGGAACAAACCAGGTCTAAACCAGGACTAAACCAGGTCTAAACCAGAACTAAACCAGGTCTAAACCAGGACAAAACCAGGTCTAAACCAGAACTAAACCAGGTCTAAACCAGGACTAAACTAGGACTAAACCAGGTCTAAACCAGGACTAAACCAGGTCTAAACCAGGACTAAACCAGGACTAAACTAAGACAAAACCGGTCTTAGTCCTGGTCTCAGTCCCAGTCTCAGTCCCGATCACCTGACAGTCTATGTGGACGTGACTCCGGGCTTGTCACGACACTCCTGGTCCTGGTCCTGGTTCAGTCCTGGTTTAGTCCTGGTTTAGTCCTGGCTTAGACCTCGTTTATATCTGGTTTTGTCCTGTTTTAGTCCTGTTCAGTCCTGGTTTAGTCCTGGTTTAGTCCTGGTCCTTTAGTCCTGGTTTAGTCCTGGCTTAGACCTCGTTTATATCTGGTTTTGTCCTGTTTTAGTCCTGGGATCAGTCCTGGTTCAGTCCGTATGCGGCGCAAAATTCCAGCATCTCAGTTTAAGTCACGTAAACAGAAAACGGCCGTTATCTGTTTTTTCCATTCTTCATTTAAACACAAAATCGAAAACTGAAAAAACAAATCATTATCATCATTTTTTCATTTTGGTTTTGGAGACAAATATCTTATTTTTGGCTTTATTTTGACAAACGAATGAATGAATGATACACAGATTCAGCCACTCCTCTGTATCCTTCTCTTTTTGTCATCATTTGAAACCTAATTTGAGCACTAAACAAAACTGCAGCTATTTCAATTCATTGATTTAACAAAGAGAAAGTTACAAAATGAAATTGTCCATTGTTGTGCTTTGTTGTGATGATGCTCATGGGGATGTATTGTAAAAGAAATCAGAACTGCAGTTTTTAATTTGAATTTAATAGATTATTATTATTTTTATTTTTTTTAAAGGTTCACTATTTTCAGATCTAATGTTGTTTCCTCATCACAAACAGACCTGGAGTTGTGTTTTGTTTCATTCACACATGTTTAACACACAAACCCTGCAAATGAGTTCTTCTCTCGAACAGAAAACACTCTGTTCCACCTCGTGATGTCATGTGGTAATACAGGAAGTGCTCCACTGCACTTTTAAACTCCATACATCTTAGTTAGAATCATTTGGATAATTTCAGCTGTGGAATTGTCAATCTCGACTGAACTAAAGGTAAAACGTAGCTGTTCACTTGAAAACTACCACTTCATGACATCACAAGGTGGAACAGAGGATTTTGAGATGTAGACCGACAACTCCACGTCTGTTTTTGAGGAGGTAACAACTAGGGATGGGCATGATTAGTCGATTAATCGATAATTGATCATTAAGAATTTCATTGATTACGTTCATTTTAATCGACAAACTGAATGTAGGTTGGTGTGTGTAGTGTGACCAAACAGGTGTGTACATGTGTCTCTGCATCAGAAGGAGCGAGACACAAACAGTGGGTCAGTCTGCAACGTACCGAAGTGCAAATGTGTATTTAACGATGATTTGTACAAGAAATTCTATGCTTTCCGTTGCGTTCGGGACAAGTGTGAGTCCATGTGCACAGTGTATAAAGCAGCACATATGTTTCGGTGTCCAGTGGGAAAAAAGTTCACCAGGACACAGAAAACATGAAAAAGTTTTGCCAGGTGAGAGTATCACAATGTCGATGACGACCTCCCTCCCCCCGTACAGTGTATGTACAAATATGGTCACACTAACCTGTATTCCACTGAGTCGTGCCACATCAGTGCACAAGAGCTGTTTTTTTTTTTTTTTTTTTTTTTTATTCTCTTAGTTTATGGGCCCAGTCAAGTTAAAAAAATTCAAGTTAATGCATCTGATATAAAAATGTATTGAACAGATACATATGTACTCTAGTTTATGAAACTGTTGACCTTTTTTCTGGACCATTTTTGGTTCTAAAGTTCCATACGTTTTAAACAGACCATGTATGAAACATGGAACAAAAATTATTTCCCAAATTTCAAAGACCTGCAAATCATGTAAATAAATGGATGTATTTCATCATATCTTGTGTTATTCCATCTTTGAACTGTTGATGAAGGTACAGGATTTTTTTTTTTTTTAATGTATTTAAAATGATAAAAATTTGCTTGGAAGGACTGACATATTTTATAGAAATAGTTTCCTTTCATTTTGAAGTAATATTAAAGTATTCGGAAGAAAAAAGTTGACAAATGATGTAAAATCCTGCACCTTCTACTTGCTTGAACAATTTTCCCTCTGTTACTTTTCCCTCCGTTACCATGACCTTTCTTCATAAAAAATCTCATGACTCAAAAAGTAAGAGGTTTTTCTACCTAATCTTGTACCATATGGTAGAAAACTATATGAAGTAAATATTCATTCGATTAAGAAAATTTAATCGAATGCCCATCCCTAGTAACAACATTATAACATGACTTAAAGCTCACAAGAGTCCATTTTGTGTCACATAGGACCTTTAAGTCATTTCAGATCAACATTTTGCTTTGAAATGAAAAAAGTTTCAAATAATAATGTGTGTGTTTGGATCATAGATTTTAAGTATTTGCCAGAAAAAAAAAGAGTTTGGAGTTTGGAGATGTGAACACTGAAGCTCCTGTAGCTCGAACAGAGATGAGGAGTGATGGTCTGAACACTTTGGGTCAAACTAATCGATGAAAACGTCTGTCTCTGTTTTGTTCAGGACAGACTTGGGACTCTGGTCTGTAATTTGTCAAACTTTTCACAGGTCAGTTTTATTTTTAGGTGGAAAATAGTTGAGCTTTACGGTGTCATCGTTTGGGTGTTCAGATACTTTACAGATACTTTTGATCTGGTTTCATCCGAGTTTTGTGCTAATGCAGACTTTGGTTCACTCCTGGTCTATTCCTGGTTTCATTTTGGGTTCATTCTTGGTCTGATTCTGGTTTGGTTCTGTCGTAATAACTTTTAAAAAGTAGGTTACAGAAATGATGCAAACTATCCAATTAATTATGATAAATAAATGAAAAGAAATAAGGAATAAAATCAAGCTAAAACCAGTTAAAGGGCCCATCTCATGCAAAATCAACTTTTCAGAGTTTTCTAAGAGTGATGTGTGGGCCTTGTATATGTCGCCAAAGTGGTTTTTAGATTGATTTGGCGTTTTTTTGTTTTTTTTTTAACAGATTGCAGTGTATTTCTGCCACCCTCCCACGTGACAACGAACTAAAACTGCTACAACGATGACGCGGCAGCTACACCTATGACGTGTGATAATATAATTCAGCTTTGATCACATTTGTTTACGTTTTACAGAAACGAAACTTAAAACCGCGTGACTAATTTGCATAAACTGTTATTGCGTGTGCAGGTTGATAAAAACAACTCGATTCTGCTTGATAGCACTAATATAATAGCACATTTATCTACTAGTGTTTATTAATACTGTACCAATCAGTAATGTTCAGCTGATGTGGACGTGGTGCTTGAGCTTCGTGCTCCTCAAAGTCCTCATCCGATTCCAGGTCCAACACATGCGGCTGAATGCTCTGTATTGTCATGATGAATAAAAGTTTATTCCTGCCTCTATCAGGGAGCACGCCTGTCTCCCCCTCCCTCCCTGAGATGGCGGAGGAAGGGCGGCTCACTCGTCGCCTACGTCATGTTTGGAGGGCGGAGCCTGTGCTTTCTCAGGACGGGCGGGGGGA